CTGATCAAATTTCCCCCAAGAAGAAAGATGGTGAGAAGAGTACTGAGCAAGAAACGTCCACATAGAAGGATGGAACAAAGAGGGCGCAGGTTGGACCCCCTAAAGGCTGGAGCAAAGTTGTCACAAAGAAGAAGAGGGCTGAATCTAGTTCAAAATCAGAAACAGACTTTAATGTTGCTGTTGATGTCACTGACATCCAAACCAAGAAAAAGCCTTCCACAAGCAAACTGGCTGAAAGTATTTCTGAAGTACCAATTGATAACATTTCATTTCACTATCCATCAAGTGTTATCAGATGGAAATACGTGTATCACAAGAGGTTGGCCCTAGAGAGAGAGCTTGCTCAGAATGCTCTTGAAAACAAAGAAATCATGGCCCTCATCAGAGATGCTGGCTTGGTGAAAACGGTGACTCAGTTCTCCCAATGCTATGAAACGTTGGTGAAAGAATTCATAGTCAATCTATCAGGTGCATGTGCTGATAGTAAATCCAGCGAGTTTGGAAAAGTATTTGTAAGAGGTGAATGTATCAACTTTACAACAACTATCATCAACAAGCACTTGGGGAGACCTAATGAAGGCCTGATTGAACTAAGAGTCTCAAACCATCAAATATGTCAGGAAATAACTGCTAAGTAGGTCAAGAAGTGGCCTTCCAAAGGGAAGCTTGTAACAAGCAAACTAAGTGTTAAATATGCTATGCTTCACAAAATTGGTGCTGCAAATTGGGTGCCCACCAATCATAAGACAACAGTGGCACCCATTCTTGGAAGGTTCATATATGTTGTAGGAATTAAGGCTAAGCTCAATTATGGAACATACATTCATGAATAAACCATGAAGCATGCTGGTAGCTACAGTATTAAGGGCCCTATTGCTTTTCCCTCTCTCATATGTGGAATCATCTGTGATCAACATCCCAACATCCTAAAAAAGAATGATGTTGCAAGCAAGAGAGAAACCGCATTGTCATTTCATCATAAACTATTTCAGGGGACTCATGTTCCTGATATTGTTATGACATCAGCTGAGACATCAAAGGGATCATCAAAATCAAGAAAAGCTAAAGGAATTTCAATGTTGAAGGAAACTTGCAAGGAACTGGATACTAGAAAGAAAAATCTTGAAGAAGTAATCAGAACCCTTGAGCAAGATGTGGGGTCTGAATTCACTGATGAAGAGAGAGATGGTAATGGTTCAGGTGATAATGACCAGGAAGTAGCTGATGATAGTTCTGAGAAAGCCAGTGGTGAAGATGAGGAAACAGGTAAGGACAGGTCTGAGGAAACCAATACAGAAGACACTTCAGAGGAGAGGTCCAGCTGCTGAAGAGGAGGAAAAGTAACTGTTGGTGATGCCTGACTCAAGCTGCTGTTCTGCTAAGCTGATGAGGTTGTGTGCTGCTGGTCTGATATTGCCTTAAGATCTTTTGTAAAGACTTGTATGACTTTATATCTTTGATGCTCCTTATGAGAAGTCTTTTTACAGTAGCCCTAACTTCAGTTATGTTACAATGTAGAATCTATACTAAGTTTTAGTTGGATTTTAATTTGTGGCTAAAAAGGGGGAGAGAGTGTGTATAATAGAAAACAGTAGGTACAACAGATATTCCAGAACAGGTGCAGGTGATGTGCAGAACAGTGAAGAACAGGTGGATAGCTTGAAGAGCATATGTGTTAGCATGTGTGTGAATTCATATGGTGTATAGGAATGTTTGTTAGACTGTTTGGTTGATTATGTATGTTGCTAACAATATGTACAATGGGTAATCCTAGAAGGTATTTAGGAGTGTGTGTGTGTGTGTGTCTGCATGATAGTAGCAGAGAGTCGTGTGCAACTCTTCAGGGGGAGTAGCATAGGTGTGTGTGACTTCAGAATGTCATTCTGAATGTCTGGACATCCACAGGATGGAGGCTTGTATCTGTGACTACAGGGTGTGCAGGAGAAGTGTTAAACGGATAAGATGTATCAGTTGAGGGGGAGTAACTCTATGTGTTACTCACTCAACAAAGAGTGAAATCTGTAGTGGTATTCTACAGATAGTTAACAAAGTGAGTTATAACAATGAGAGCTAACTGTAAGGAGTGTCTCTTCATATTTATTCTGTATTTGTGAATTGTATATCACTGTGGTGATTGAGGGGGAGTGAATGGGTATACTCAGGTCTAGAGTGTCTCTAGGCTGAATTGTCATTGGGTAGGTTTTAAGTGAGGAGTGCAAATTGTGTTGTTTGACTCTGAATTAATTCTGCTAATAGTGAAGTTCCTCCCTGACTTGGTAGCCCCCAGATGTAGGTGTTGTTGACAATGAACTGGGTAAACAATTGCTGTGTTTTTACTGCTTTTATTATTACTGATTATTAGCTGTTAAGTAGCAGATGTCACAGTGGATGTTATAACTTTGGGAATAACATCCATCGTGTGCTTGCCAGAATTTTTAGAAAACATATCCTTTCTTTTCGAATTCACTAAGAGAAATAAATTCCTCTTAAGATTGAATACATGTGTGACATTAGTCAATAACCTTATTGACTCATCATGGAGCTTAAATCTAACAGATCAAATTCCTGCAATCTTGTAGGATTTATTGTTTCCCAACAACACTGATCCACCATCTTGACCATATAATTCCTCAAACATGTATTTATTTGGAGTCATGTTGCAAATACAACCTAAATTCATAATCCACTCCTTGCTAGAGACGCTGCTTGAAACCACAAGGACATCAGATGATTTATAACCATTTTGCACAATGGATGTATTACCATTATCCTTTCCACCGTTATTATTCAGTCGATCATGGCACACCTTTCTTATATGAACTTCCTTCTTACATTGATAACGCCTAATTGCAGGAGTACTATCACCGTAAGAGTTCCATAGAACCTTACCATTCTTTTTCTCAAATCTACCATTTTTCTTCAAAAAATTTCCTTTGACGAAAAATCCTTCACCAACGGAAGATGATTTTTGCTTCTTTCTTTCATTCAAGTCCTTAGAGTACAAGACTGATTGAACTTCTTCAAAGGTCAAATTTTTTTTCCATACAAGAGAGTTTATTTGAAATGAGCATGAGACTTAGGTAAAGCACACAACAACAATAATGCTTGATCTTAATCATCAGTCTTGCCTCGATATTTTCAAGATCAAGATTCAACTTGTTGAACATATCCAACTGCTTAGCCAAGACTTTATCTTCATTCAGCTTGAACGAATACAAAGTTTGCTTCAGGTAGAAACGATTGACCAACAATTTTGTCATGCACAAACTTTCAAGTTTCGTCCACACACCAACTGCATTTTTCTCGTTTGAAACCTGTCGGAGAAACTTATCACCAAGGCTCATTATGATGACAGTGTGAACATTTTCGATCATCGTCATTTTTTCCTTCTCCATTAGGGCAACATCCATCTTCTCCAATCCTTTCAACGCTTATAACAAATCCTGTTTAACTAGTATGACTTGCATTTTTAAGCGCCAGAAACTGAAATCATTCACATCCCTGAATTTCTCAATCTCATACTTTGTTGACGACATCTTCTCCTCCATGCTCACTGCACCAGTTTTTTGTGAATCGATTTTGTCAAAAACAAATCAAAATATTAGAAAGATTGATTTTTTGAACAAACACAAGAAACTCTATTAGATTTTATAAAAGAGAGAGAAGAAGAAAAAAGCAGAATCGTGATTAGTTATAATTGTTTTACTATTCACTTTCTCTATTAGGATTCAAAAATTACAAGTGAATGTCAACAACCAAAGCTCTCTCTCTCTCTCTCTCTCTCTCTCTCTCTCTCTCTCTCTCACACACACACACACACACACACACACACACACACACACACACACACACACACACACACACACACACACACACACACTCAACAACCGAAGAGAAACAATCTATTTATTGACTATTAAGCTAACTTAAGCAATAAGTTAACTTAAATAATTAGGCTAGCAAATTGGTCTAATTCGACATGCTAAAACAAGCTTCGGCTTCAAAATGCACACCGTTGACACCTACATGTTTGATTAGACTTCGACTACAAACATGTACAACTCAGTCGAACCATGAAAGTATCCTTATCGAGACTAGAGTACAATCCAAATACCACAGTTGTGTTAAAATTGAAATATAACTTTATATGTTTTAGACTTAGGACAACTGTATTCGACAAAGTCAAATAGAACATGTAATTGTTGTGTTAAAGTCGAAATATAATTTTATATGTTTTAGGCTTGGAACTTAACTGCCCATTGTATATAAGCATACATTAGTAGTTTTAAGAAGAACAACTTCATTAAGTAATCATTTAAGTTTTATTCAATACTATTTTTTCCTTCCTCAACTCTTCTTAAAACTCTAATTGTTTTATCATTTCAACAAAATGGTTAGATTTGAGAATTTAGGATTGTGAAAAGTCATGTTTGCTGAAATTAAATAAGATGAAGAAGGAGTGTTTTTTTTTTATAATTATTATTAAAAGAAGCTTTAAATTCTAGAATATGAATGATGTAAAATATGCTCCGAATTGCAAAATCTTAGATGATATCTTTTTCTAAAAGTTAATAAAAAAAAACTCTAAAAGAAATTACGCAGAACCGAGTTGAAAACAATTGTTTATATTAATATTCAATTCCCAAAAATATCTAGTAAAACTATGACAAAGATAACTTTTCATCTCTAGCTTCCATTTAAATATCAAAAAAGTAATAACTGATGAGCATAAATAGAGGGGGATTGATACTCATTTTCACAACCTACACACATTCCCAACTTTATAGACTAACCAATCTAACCTGTACCACAAGACACAAGAATACTCTCAGTCACACACAGTCTTCAAAGAATAATAATCTCTATGCAACCTATTTCAAGCAATTATCCAAACCAAATTGACCCTTAAATGACACCACTGAATTGACAACTGACTTCAATGTACATTATTATTAAGTACTGATTCTTCTCCAAGAGTTCACCCAAACACTTCAACAAAAATGAATTCATTACCCTCAGATGCTTTCAACATGAGAGTCACAGAAGATGAAAATCTTCACCTTGAAGATACTCATCAATTAGAGAGATCAAAGTGGATGCTAAACACTCCAAATCCACCTCCTCTATGGAAAAAACTAATCACTCCTTTCAAGAATAACAAGCTCTTTTCTTCTTCCAAAAAGAGAACTTGCAATGAAAATGCTTTTTCTTTCTTTAGTAGCTTGTTTCCAATCCTTAACTTGCTCAAAAACTATGATGCTTTCAAGTTTAAAGATGATTTTCTAGCAGGTTTAACTCTAGCTAGTCTTAGCATACCCCAGGTATTTGTTGTCTGTTTGTCTGATATTTCTGTATAATCTTTATGTATCTGACGCGTAAAACTATAAATAACATAATTTAATATATTTTTCTGATTTTTTTCATCTAATGTTGCAGAGTATAGGATATGCTAATTTAGCAAAACTTGATCCTCAATATGGATTATGTAGGTATCTGAATTTAGTTAACTATACTATAATTTATAAAACTGCAATAAATTTTTATAATATGGATACATATTTTTCAATGTAAAATATTTTTTCAGATACAAGTGTTGTTCCTCCTCTTATCTATGCTATGATGGGAAGTTCAAGAGAAATTGCAATAGGACCTGTAGCTGTAGTTTCACTGCTACTTTCTTCTCTATGTCACAAAGTGGTTGATCCAGATTTAAACCATGATGCTTACAGAAATTTTGTCTTCACTGTAACATTTTTTGCTGGAATTTTTCAAGTTGCATTTGGAGTTTTCAGGTGCTTAATTAATTACTTAATTAATTAATTAATTAAATTTCATTATTATAAAGTTAGTTTAATTATTATTTTCTATATTCAGGTTGGGATTTCTTGTGGATTTTCTTTCGCATGCTGCACTTGTAGGATTCATGGCAGGTGCAGCAATCATGATTGGTCTTCAACAGCTTAAAGGATTGCTTGGAATTAGCAACTTTACTAATAAATCTGATGTTGTTTCTGTTCTGGAATCTGTTTATAAATCACTCCGTCACCAAATTCCATCGGGTGAAGTAAGTATCGAGGATACAGTTGTAAAATGATCATTAGTAACGCTGAAGTGAATAATAAATTTTTGCCACAAAAAATTATAAAATTTTGAGAAAAATGTTTATGTGATTTTTTTTATTATTTATATATGACATATATTTGTTTATTATATTGACAGTGGTACCCTCTGAATTTTGTCATTGGATGCTCATTTCTGATTTTCTTATTGTTTGCAAGATTTATGGTAAGTTAGTGATGAAATATTTTTGGCATATAAATTTCCACTAGTAAAATATTTCATCTGATTTTATGTATAATATTTAATTTCAGGGGAAAAGAAATAAAAAGCTTTTTTGGTTACCAGCTATTGCTCCTCTTGTATCAGTTATATTATCAACTTTTATTGTGTATATTTTCAAAGCTGATAAAAATGGAGTTAATATAGTAAAACATGTGAAAAAAGGGCTTAATCCAAGTTCAGTTCATCAATTACAACTCAATGGTGAACATGTTGGAGAAGCAGCAAAAATTGGATTGATTTCTGCTGTTATTGCTCTCACTGTAAGTTTAATTAATTAATTAATTATATTTTTTTTAATTATAAGTATTGATTTATTTTTTATTTTTTATTTTTTGTTTATAGGAAGCAATGGCTGTTGGTAGATCTTTTGCTTCAATTAAAGGATACCAACTTGATGGAAACAAAGAAATGCTGGCAATGGGTTGTGGGAACATTGCAGGCTCTTTCACTTCATGCTATGTTGCAACTGGTGAGTTGTGACTATTTTTTTTTCTTTCTATTAACAAGTGAAAAATTAATGTAAAATTTTGATATAGGTTAATTAGGAAAAGATTTCTTAAAGCAAATTAAAGGTAGATCTTTAATAGTTTGTGTTCCAATGAACCAAGCCAGAGTTCACTAGTAGATACATTGAAGTACAAAAGAAAATTATAAAAAAATAAAAGTACAAACAAAAGTTTCTTTTTTGGCAAAAAGTACTAACGAAAGTTAAAGACATAAAATGAATTTTGCTTCTTAACTTTTGGTCACTAACTAGAGAATATATTTCATTAAAGATGATTAGAGCCTTTGAAAGTATATAGACTACAATATAACATCTCAAATTTTTCAGAGTTAAAATGTAAAAAAATAAACTTTATAATAGATTTGATATTGTTAAACCATTGTTAAATAGAATCCTTAATTGTTTTAAAGTTTGTTAAATTGTGAAAAAATTGCAGGTTCATTTTCAAGGACTGCAGTAAATTTCAGTGCAAGATGTCAGTCATCAATATCAAACATTGTGATGGCAGTGACAGTGATTCTGTGTTTGGAATTATTTACAAGGCTGTTATATTACACACCTATGGCAATTCTTGCTTCCATAATTCTCTCTGCACTTCCAGGACTAATTGACATAAGAGAAGCTTGTTATATATGGAAGGTCGACAAAGTTGATTTCCTTGCTTGCATGGGTGCTTTCTTCGGTGTCTTGTTTGTATCGGTTGAAACCGGTCTCATTGTCGCTGTAAGTTCTCCGCCCCTTTCTTAACAATATAGCCGATAACCAGAGTTCTCTTATATTTTTATATTTTTAGAGGTTCTGTATAAATTTGTCACAGTTTAATCGTGACAAAAATAGGCTGTTTATTATGCCTTGAAAGACGGTCCTGCAAATAATATGAGAAGAATTGGGTTATTTTGTGAGTGCTAGCTAAGAGGTGGGTTCCAAGTTCCATCAAAAACATATCATAATTAGACTTAGAAATAAATAAAGCAGTGCTGTCTTGTTCAATACTACCTTACTTGTCAGGCTGTAGAATAGAATATGGTCCACAAATATGTCTCATATACTTGTTACTTCTCTATTATTGAACTTATATTCCTATTTGTCATTACACTCCAACTCTAAAAATAATGCACTTAGGACAATGAGTACGATATTTAAGAGAATTGATTTCGCTATTTAAAAAAATAGCGGTACAGTTTGTTGCATGTTTGTCTGTTATATCTGTATAATATTAATAGTAATACAATATAATGCACGTATTTGTAGGTGTCAATTTCATTTGCGAAGATAGTAATACAATCGATTCGACCCGGAATAGAAGTTCTAGGTAGAATTCCCACAACAGAAGCTTTTTGTGATGTTAGTCAATACCCCATGGCTACAAGTACTCCAGGCATTTTGGTCATTCGTATAAGCTCTGGCTCACTCTGCTTTGCAAATGCAAATGTTGTTAGAGAAAGGTAATTAATTAAACTATAATAATGTTTTTAGAGATAATAATAATTAATTAATTAATTAAAATTATATAATTCTTCCAGGATACTCAAGTGGGTCACTGAAGAAGATGGGCTTAAAGAAATTCAAACTACTAAGGGAAGAGTCCAAGCAGTAATATTGGAAATGACTAGTGAGTATCAAAACTCATCATTTTAATTCCAATACTAAATATTCATATATATATATATATATATATATATATATATATATATATATATATATATATATATATATATATATATATATATATATATATATATATATATATATATATATATATATATATATATATATATATATATATATATATATATATATATATATATATATATATATATATATATATATATATATATATATATATATATATATATATATATATATATATACAGTTTTTTCTATCAATATTTTGAGTTTATAAGTGAATGACTTATACAATTTCTTTTTATAGATTTGATGAATGTTGATACTTCTGGAATTATAGTATTGGAAGAACTGCATAAGAGGTTGCTCTCACGTGGCATAAAAGTGAGTTTTGTTAAAACTGCAAAATATATATTTTTTAAAATCAAATTCAGATTTAATTCAAACAAATATGTAATTTTTTTGGTACAGTTTTGTATGGTGAATCCAAGGTGGCTAGTAATTCACAAGCTTAAAGTGGCACATTTTGTGGATAAAATTGGGAAAGAATGGGTTTTTCTTACCGTTGCTGAAGCTGTGGATGCATGCTTATCTTATAAATTTGCTGACCCATGATTTCATGGGCATTATCTATGGTGTACTTATCCGGCATAATGATGGTTATGTTTGATTAAAAATATGTTTTTGGTAGTGTATTTAATTTTAAAATAAATTATTAAAAAGTTATATTTTGATATTTGTATTATGATAGATTTTTCAGAATTGATTGGTATATGGGTCAATATAATTTTGTGTATTATATTGCTTGTATAGATTAGTGAAAATTTCCTTTTCGAACTCTAAGAAATTATGGGATATGTTTTTTAAAATGTTTAGATCAAAAAGCTAAAAACATTACTACTTGTCTTATTCATAAAAAACTAAAAACATTACTACTTGTCTATCTATTCAATTTCCAACTCACCGTTGAGATATTTTGGATTCAAGAATTCGAAGATGGTGAACCTAGTAATACAAACATTGAATATAAATATTACATTAAATAAAATCATATTCATAACATAATACAATCAAGAACGATAATACATTAACATAAATTAAACATAAACAAGATCATTAAAGAGATAATCTAGGATTATAGAATCGTAATGCATGCATAATGATGTATATGCTCAGATTCTAGAATTCAAAACGTGGAGAATGGTGATTACTCAATTTCTAGAATTAATCCAAACTAAACTCTCTTAACTTAAAGAAACAAATAAAACTTAGATTTGAAAAAATGCACACTAACTACATTCTTAATAGATGAAAACTTCACAGGCGTGATGAATTCAACCAAGATTATATAGAAAACAAGACAATGCAGTAGATCTTTGTATATTTCAAATTTGGATTTTTTTTATACTCAAAAGTGGAAATAAAGAAGTGAAGGGGAAGTGGGAGGATTTGCAGGCTATATGGAACTTTATGTAATTAAAGTTTCTTAGTTCAGCTCGCGAAAATCATTGCTTTTTTTAGGAGGATCTATCTCATAGTATTTTTCTAGATTTGAAGATATAAAAGATGGATTAAGAAATTATCAATTTAATATAATTGTAGGCTATAAATGAGTCAAATTTAGATTGTAATTTTGAATAATTCATCCGATCATTTATTACACCTTATTTTCAAAGTTTGAAAAGAGAATTACTACAAGAAACATTACATTTTTCTAAGTGATTTTCACGTCACTAACTCAAAAACCACTTCACTAACCAACTTTTGCGACGTAGGTAAAACACGCCGGAAATGCAATGGTGGGAACATGTTCCCACGTAGAAAACACGTCACAAAGTTGTGACATAGTTCCCACGTCGCAAACAACAAAATTAGGAGAAAATCTTCCCACGTGAAAACCAAATCACTAATTAGTGACGTGATATTCATGTGGGAAACTACCTTTACCAATTTTGTCTGCACGCCTGCCTGACACCAATTAAATTTGGTTCTCATGTGATTCTCACGTCACTAATTTGTGACTTGGTTTTCACGTGGGTTTCTGACACTAATTAAATTGGTTCCCATGTGATTTTCACGTCACTAATTAGTGACGTGATATACATGCCACAACAAAAATATGTTTTATAATAGTGACATTGTTTGCACTTCACTATAAAATTTAATAATAAAAAAATAAAAATAAATATTAACTAAAAACAGCTATAAAATTAAAATAAATATTAAATATTAACTATAAAATTTAAAAAATTAAAATAATATACATTAAAAAATATATAAATATTTAGTTACATGAAATTCACGTCACAAATATAAATATGTTTAATCTAATATGCATGTTAACCTGACAAGCAATTGTCATATTCATCTTCGATAGAAGGTAAAAAGTTGTTATCCATATTCATAGTCAACCGATGAGGCTCCTCTCATTTAGTTGTTAGACCATAATGAAGAAGAAAAATAGTGAAATATGCCTGAAACTATTATTTAAATATTCACTCTCTTAGTTATGTAGAGACGTTCTCCAATTTCTAAAAAAATGAATTATACTTAAGTATGATTTTTGTATATAAATATTTAATTAATGTCATAATTTCAAAAAGTATATGTATTTATATAATTGATTTAGTCTAAAACATATTAATAAATATTTTCACTTTTTATTTATAGAAATCGAGACGATATCAACCCTCTTAGTTTCTTAAAAAATATTTCATTTCTACCTATTCTAAAAATATATATTTTACTACAAATTATTTTTATTTTTTTCTTTCAACAACAACACAATAAACAAAAATAATATTTATAAAATATCAACAAAAAAATATCAACAACAACACAAATATAAATATTCTAAAATTTTATAATATATCAACAAAATAATATATCAACAACAACACAGCACAATAATATATCAACAAAAAATCTAAAATTTTTTTCTAAAATTATATTTCATATATCACCAAAATCTCAAAAATAAACTAATTGAAATGCTTAAATACCTCAATGTGCTAACTCTATCAAAGCTTCCAATTGAACTTCTTAAATTCTAGATCTGAAAAAAAAAATCAACAATTAATAATTAGATAAACATAAAATAAACAGTAAAATATTCACAAAAACAACATATAGACCAATCACCTTAAACTTTTTGTGAAATTTTCTTTGAAAATTGAGTTGTGATGGAGGCAGCGGTAATGGAAGAAGGAAGAAAATTGGGGAAGAATGAAGAAGAAAGCAAAGAAGGAATGAAACGAGATGTTGCTGAAGGAAAATTTTGTGAATTAATATATAAGGAGTCTTGTTACGTGGTGAACACGTGGTAAGGTACCCACGTGATTCCCAAGTCGGAACATTGCCAATGCAATTATGTTTTGTTTGTTGCGAAGTGTAATCCTGTCACAAACTTGTCACATTCCATTCCAATATTCAATGTGTCTGAAAAGTTAATGGAAAAGCTGAGATATTTTTTATTTATAGTTTTGCGACGTTTTGCATGTGGGAAACTTGTGACATGTTACACACGTGAGAGATAAAGGGATTTTTTTTGAATTTTCCATTCCCACGTGTTTTACAAGCCACAACTGAATTTTTTTAAATTTCAAATTTTCCTCCCTCCTAAAATTCCAATTTTTGGTCGAAGATTTTAGGTCTGAATAATTTATTATTAAATGGTTTAGTGACGTGGGAATCACTTGGCAACATGTTTTTTTCACTAATTAGCACGTCACTAAATCACTTGGCAAAATGGACTTTTTCTTGTAGTGAATATTAAGAAGTTTTAAACCCAACTTCAAATTAGTAATTTAATTTCTAATGTATAAATTAGTTGTTCATCTTTAAAAAGAAAATAGTTGAACAACATACTTTATTTTTTAAAACAAAAGTTCTTAGACTAAAGCTGATTGTGGCGTATAATATGTTAGATAAAGCTTTTAAATTGAATGGATACAGGTTGGAATCATGAACAAATTACTTTTTTATAGTATTTCAAACACTGTCGAATATCTTAGAGTTTCTATGCAATAGTATACAGAATAATTCAGCTTATACTCGAGTTTGCATATCTTAGATTTATCTAATTTTTTATGGGTTACAATCAATTGTTGTTTAGTTGTAAAAACGGGTTAATCATGATTATGGTGAGGGTGCATATATAAGCCCTTTTATTAGTTAAGTGGTCTCTTTTATAACTAAAGAGTGGGTATCTGAAACTTGATTGGTGTGGATAAAAGTGTGAACTTTAACCTTAGACCCATAATGGATAGGGACTAGGGTTATATATATTATATGGCTAAATCCCCTCTGTAATTACAAAAATCAGAAACATAATTGACGGCTCCACAACTTGCCTCATTGAGAGTTGTGAACGGGAGTGTGAGATACAGAGGAAGATCCAGTCATTCATCTTTTCGAGATTCTGAATCATGACATCAACAAGTAAGTATTGATGTTCTAATTTTATATAATTAATTATTGAATATTTCCGCTTACATTTGGTATCAGAGCAATTATTATATGAGTTAGAACTCAATTATTGGTAGCTAATATATAATTATAAATTAAGGCTTCTAATTATTCCGATATAATCTTGAACAATTACGGTAATTAATTTTCAGTAATTACAATAGTTATATAATGTGTAATAGGATGATTAATTAAATCCAAATAACACAGATGCAGGCGCTTACATGTGCGATTCTTTTGTTACATGTTCAATTTTTTCCCCACTTCTGAGCCTTTTTTATACTCTTGATTCAATAACTATTTGATAAAGTGAAATTTTGAAATCTAATTAATGCAAATTCCTTAAAAAGTATCTGAAATCAATTAAGATTGTATTGATTTGATATGTATTTGATATAATGTCAATAAAGATTGTTATATTTTTATTAATTTTGAAATAATAAACTAACAATCACATGACTTGAAGAGAGCGGTTCTATATTACATACTCTAACATTTTTTGGATTGGAGGTAATTATTTTCAAGTTCTCTAGTATTTACAAATGAATAATTAATAAATAATTATAAATTGGCTTTTGAATTGGAGAATTAATCAATGATTTCCTTCTTTCAACTTTTCACCGATCATGATTTGTGTCGAAGAAGGTATGATATTTGATTTTGATTTAATTGTATATTTTTATCGAATTCAATTGTCGTAATTCTTTTTGTTGTAATTATTGCTTCATGATATTCTTGTTTTACAATACGTAATGTCGTTACATTAACATTCTGAATGCTATTTTCGGTTACAAAATTGAATATTGAGTTGATATGCTTATGAATTTAAGGAATTGAATGTCATGTTAGCAAGATTCATTCATATAATAATAATAATAATAATAATAATAATAATAATAATAATAATAATAATAATAATAATAATAATAATAATAATAATAATAATATGTGTTGTGAAAACATTGACTCTGTGTATAAACTATTCTTGAAGTTTGATCTCACCTGATCAGAAAGGAATCAGTAGTCAGAACTTTTTTGAATTGGTACTGTTTTTGACGAAGCTCCTGGGGACCGGCGATGAAGCCTCCAAGGACGTAGGATGAGTGATTAGAGGACTTGATGAAGGTCCCGGGGAATTGGGATGAGGA